AGATTTATGCGGATTTGTCACATTAATATATTGTTATCAAATTTTCGAGAATTATAATAAAAAAAATACTAGCGCACTCTGACGGTAATAAATAACAACAAACTAAACCCGATTTAAAAACCTCCGCACAAACTATTAATGAAAATATAACTCACAATTCGAATTATTCACATGCCTAAATTGATATATTTACTTATTAAAAACAGTATTTTATTGAAAATTTCGCTGGCTAAAAAGTTATTTGCGATATATGGTTTTGCAGTCAAAATTCTTTTAAACAACACATATATTTCATATAAAAAGGTGCCCATATTACTTAATTTTACTTCATTAGTAAATTGGCCCAGTCTAATATATCTTATATATAAAAATGGAGCTCTCTTTCAAATGTCCAAATAAACCTCGAAAACGGCTAAACCGATTTGGCCAGTCTTATTCTTGAAAAATTCGTGCTAATCCAGAGAAAGTCCAGAGGGTGAGAAATTATTTCAAATTTGCGTAGAAACTCTACATTTTTAATTTGAAAATTTTTGGTAAACAGCACTTGATTCAAAATGGCTTCCCACACAATATTATTCAAATGACAGATGTATCGCATACTCATATGTCAAATGGTTTTGACAAGTTAAAACAGATTATATGTTGTTATTCTTTTAATTTTAAAATTTAATTATTTATATATTTTTAAATGTTAATAGGAATGCTTATTTTGATTTTATATGAGGTTTTTATTTAAATCTCAAGTGTTTGCTCATTGCCTTTTTGTATTCTTATATCAAGAGCTTGAAATAATACTATTCTTATTGAATAAAGCTTGCTTATGAAAGAATAAATAAATAATTTATTTCAAACGCTGTGCTGTGCAAGTAGTTATTGGTTTAATGTGAATAATGTGTTACCAAAACATTTTATGAATTATATTATTATTGCATTTAGGTTATTCAAATTGAGATCCTAAATTTTTGTCTATTCACTTATTGCAAGTTATAATAGACAGCGATATAAATAAGAAAATTTGATTATAACACAGATAGTAATTTCAGAAATCATATTCATAAAAATCTCAAGTACAAGATATTATTATTGCATTTAGGATACTCAAATTGAGATCCTAAATTTAGAATTTTAGATAGTAATTTTAGAAATCATATTCATAAAAATCTCAAGTACAAGATTTTCGGAAACAAAGTTGTTTGAAAATTGCTCACATTATGTTATTTTACATCCACATAAGTACATTTTGAATCAGCGATTTCCAACCTGTGGTGCGCGCCCCCCTGGGGGGCGCTGTGCTGTCCCAGGGGGAGCGCGAAGCTCTATCAAAATTATTGTTTTTAAATGCTGAGTAAGTGTCAAATCAGCACAAATCAGCAAAATACATGCAAGTAATCTACAATTTTCGCTGCAATTTTGTCAGGACATTTTTTTTTATTTTTTTTCATTCTGCAATCTATAAAAATAATTATATTTAGCAGAGAATGCTGACAAGTGTTTACAATTGGTTGTTTACAAATTAGTAGATACGCCCAGTGGTGTATCTACTATAGTTAAAATATAAAAAAGAAAAACTATGGACAAATATAGAGAAAAAATATATATATAAAAATAAACTATAATAAATCTCGAGGTATTTTCCTTTTGAGCCTGGTCGGCTGGCCTTCCTGGTATAAGTTGCATGCTAGTTGGTTTGGATGTGCGTCACTTCTATTCTTATAATTACAGGCAAACATTGATATATGTTCTTGAATTGTAGGTATACCCGTGTCTTTGTGGAGAATCCATGTTGGCGTGTAGTGAGGAGCGTTTAATATTTGCCGCAGGAATTTGTTTTGTGCCGTTGTATTATGTTTAAATTGCTCTTTTTAGCAGTACCCCAAAGTTGTAATCTGTAGGTCCACACGGGTTTGATCACAGCCTTATATATAAGTAATTTGTTGTAAGTTGATAATTCTGATTTTCTGTTTAGGATCCAATAATAATTTTTGAAGATTAGATCTATTTGTTGTTTTTTGTTCTTTATGTGTACTTTCCAGTTGAGTTTCCTATCGAAGTGAATGCCGAGATACTTTATTGATTCTTTGGACAGAATAATTTCATCGTTGAGTACAACTGCTGGGCAAGTTTGGGTGCGAAGCGTGAAAGTTATATGAACTGATTTTGTACTATTTACTTCTATCCTCCACAACAAAAACCATTTCTCAGCTAAGCTGAGATGATGCTGAAGGCTGTTGGAAGCTGCATTCGGATCTTTGTTTGTGGCGATGATGCACGTATCATCAGCAAATGTGGCTAAACTCGTGTCAGTTGAAGTTGGAAAATCAGCTGCAAAAATTAAAAATAGTGTTGGGGCGAGGACACTCCCTTGAGGCACTCCAGAATTAATTTCGGTAATATTTGAATCCGTATCGGCGATGCTGATAAAAAATTTTCTATTTTGTAAATAGGATTTTATTAATAGGAATAAAGAATCTGGTAAACATCTTTTAACTTTATACATTAATCCGGTATGCCATACTTTGTCAAATGCCTGCTTGAGATCCAAAAAAGCCGCAGAACAGTACTCTTTATTATGCAGTGCATTGTTAATTACGTTTATGATTCTGTGAACTTGCTCAATTGTTGAATGTTTGTCACGAAACCCAAATTGATGGTTCGGAATAAAACTTTGTTCTCGTAAGATTATTTTAATCCGTTGAAGGATTAGCTATTCAAATATTTTCGATATGCAAGACAATAAACTTATCGGCCGGTAGGAAGATAATAGATAAGGGTCTTTACCTGGTTTGACTATAAGGATTATTTTAGCACTTTTCCAAGACTGCGGAAAAGTTTTCATTCTCAGTATAGATTTGTATATTATTGTGAGCATTCTAATAGCTTTTCTTGGAAGTTCTTTAAGCATTTTAATAGAAATCCGGTCTGGTCCAGGTGATTTTCTAGAATTTGCTTTTGCAATTTCTTGAGTTACTTCAGCCGCAGTAAAACGATTAACATCATGAGTCACTAGCGTTGGTGAATCCTGAAGAAAATCATAAATGAATTGTTCATTATTAGAGTTGCATTTACGTGAAAATGGCTGAAATGTGAGGCGCAGGTGTTCGGCGAATGCATTAGTTTTTTCTTCTGGACTTCTTGCCCATGAACCGTCTGTTTTTCTTAAAGGAGGAATTGGTACAATTGGTCTTTTTAATTTTTTGGTTGCTTTCCAAAGAGAATAATTTGTTTCACTACTTGCAGAAAGATTATGTAAGTAGTTTTCAAAAGAAACATTTTTATCATTTACTATTAAATTTTTCAGGTCTCTGCATGCACTGTTAAATTTTCTTTTATCTTCCGGTGATCTAGTTATTTGCCAAATTCTTCTTAATTTCCTTTTCTGTGCAATGATTTTTTTAATATCTATGGGCACAGAGTGACTGTGATTGTGATTTAGAATAGGAGTCGATATTTTAGCTGCTGCAATTAATGTATTTGTGAAGATGTTGATACTGATATTCAAATCATTCTCACTTTTTAATGGAATATTACAGTTAATGGTGTCTTCGATGTATTCTTGGAAAAGATGCCAATCGGTATTGTTTGTAAGCGAACTCATGACTTTGGTTGGAGTATTAGTGGAGTATTTAAGAATTACTGGTGAATGATCAGAACTGAGATCTAGACTTGAATTTATTTCAACACTCTCGTTTTTAATATTTTTGGCTACAAAAAAATCCAGGAGGTCTGGAATTTTGTTTAAATATGTGGGCTCACCCGAAGAAAATGTCCGAAGATTATTATTATTTATTGTATTATACAATTGACGGCCTCTAGGTGTTATTAGTCTAGATCCCCAAAATGTGTGCTTTGCGTTATAATCACCTCCCGCAATAAACAAATTTCCAAGGCTGGTAAAAAAAGTTGTAAACTCATTTTCAGTAATAATGTGCCTTGGCGGACAATAGATTGCCGATACTGTAATTTTGTGAGTCATTAGGTCAATTGAAACATTTGTCAATTGTATGTAGTCAGTATAAAAAGGTTCTGTCTCGTAATGTCTTATGTTTGACTTGATGATAATGGCAGTGCCACCGTGAGGTTTGTCGTCCGGGTGATTTGTGGTATATGTGTGATAATTAGGAAAACGAATATTGTAATTTGTCTCGGTAAAATGCGTCTCGGAAATTAGCATGATGTCTACGTCATTGGTAGGTACAAATGTAACAGCAAAATATTTCGTTTTTGCGTTTGTAGCCGAGTGAGCTGTAGGCCTATAAACAAAAGATAAGCACTCGGATCATATCGAATATTCACGTGCTTACTCAAGACTAACTTAAGTAAATAAACAAAAGCATCCTTTTTATTCTGTTATCTATAAATCGAATTAGTTCATTAGTTGTGCTGGAAATACACGCGTTGATATATAGAAAAAATCATTTCTTAATTATTATTGAGTTGAAATTTATAGCTTTAGTTTTAGCACATTATTAGCCAGGAATTATTGTGGAAAGTAGTGAAAAAGTGATTTTCTTTGATTTGTTATAAAAACCATTTGTAATGGATAAATACGTGACTGGGTTGAAAAGAAAATTTAATGAAGCAGAAGAAGAGGGTGGTAAAAATAATGGAAATGTTTCTTCACAAAATAGTAAAACTAAACATAGAAAATATGATCCAATGTACTTATCATTGGGATTTACGTATAAGATCATTAATGGTCAAGAACGACCAATGTGTTTGCTGTGTATGAATACTTTGGACTCAGATAGCATGAAACCAAATAAATTAAAACGACATCTAGAAAAAGTGCACGCCGATCATGTTGGCACAACAAAATAATTTTTGCAAAGAAAATTAGATAACTTAAATAAACAGAAAGAATCGTTTTCAAAAGCTTTGTCTGTATCACAAAAAGCGTTGCTTGCGTCATACAAAGTTTCGTATTGAATTGCTAAATCAAAAAATCCCATTCAATAGGAGAAACTTTAGTACTACCAGCAGCTATTGACATAATAGCTACAATGTTTGGTGAATCATATGCTGATCAAATTAAAAGCATTCCGCTGGCAGATAATACGGTGGGAAGACGATCAGATATATCTAATGATCTTTGCAATCAGTTGACAGAAAAAATTAAATTATCTTCTTTCGCGTTGCAAGTAGATGAGGCTACCGATGTTGCTAAGGATGCACACTTAATAACATATATAAGATATGTTATGGAAAATGATATTAGAGAAGAGTTGTTATTCTGTAAGGCAATTGAAGGCAAAGCTACGGCGAGTGAAGTTTTTAACATGATTGATAACTTTTTTATTGAAAATGGTATTTTATGGGAGAACTGTGTTGGACTGTGCACTGATGGAGCTCCATCTATTGCAGGGAAAAATGCTGGTCTGCAGGCCCTAGTTCGAAAAGTGGCTCCTCGTGCAGTTTGGACGCATTGTATGATTCATAGGCAATCTCTTGTTGCAAGAAATATGGGTGAAGAATTACTTGAAGTATTTGAAATTATAATAAAAGTTGTTAATTTTATCAAAAATAGTCCATTAAGAAAAAGGCTTTTTGGAAAATTGTGTGATGACATGGGCTCAGAATACAAAGCACTACTTTATTATTGTGAAGCACGTGCTAAAGTACTTCAAAGGATGTTTGAGCTCAAAAAAGAAATTGCCATTTTTCTTGCTGATAATAAAAGAGATGAAGCAGACATATTTTATGACACGAAGTTTCTCGCAAAATATGCGTATCTAGTTGACATTTTTAAAAGACTAAGTGATAAATAAATCAATGCAAGGAACTCAAATTCATGCTTTTGTTCAAAAGGACAAGATTACGGCGTTTATGAAAAAAAATAGAACTATGGATAGCTAGTATGAAAAGTAATAACTTTGATATGTTTCCCCCTTTTAAAACTACATGTGTTACTGATGAAACAGAAGCAAGAAAAGATCTTATTATCAATCATATGACTAGTCTAAGGAACCAATTTGCGCATTATTTCAAAGATCTAGATATGTCCAAATACGAATGGATTAGAAATCCATTTGTTATTGATAAATATGATGATTTTGGTCTTCCAACGGCAGAGCAGAAAATGATAATTGATTTATCTAGTGATAGCACCTTGAAGCAGATGTTTCAGGACGAAAAGAATATTGTTAAGTTTTGGTTACAAGTAAATGACGATTTTCCAACTTTGACAACTAAAGCTTTAGAAATTTTATTACCATTTGTGACATCCTACTTATGTGAAATTGGTTTTTCTGCAGTAGCAGTATTAAAAACAAAGTACCGATCACGTTTAGTGATAGAAAAGGAACCTAGAACAGCGATTTCTACAATGGAGCTGCGGTTTGAGAAAATTTGTGCTAAAAAACAAGCTCAACCGTCGCATTAATTTTTTAATGTTGTGTGAAATATTATATCATTTGTTTTTATTAAATTTAAAATTATTTTTTCTTATAATCAATAGTTATGTTTGTATGTATATTTTTGTATTTTTATTTTTGTATGTATGTATATTGTGCATTATTTGGTACGAGATTGAATAAATCATAATTTCAATTATTTAAATTAAATTGTTAAAAAAAATAGGGGGGGCGAAATATTTTTTTATTTCAAAAGGGGGGCGCAAGGAAATAAAGGTTGGAAACCGCTGTTTTAAATAGATATGGAAGTAATCATTTCGAATATATGCAGTACAATCTATTTGCAATACAAATTTTTCATTACCATACTATAAGGAGTTTTGTAGTTATATGGTCCATGAATTTTATATTTTTAGGGTTTGACAAATGTCACAGTTCATAGAAGTATGGAAAGTATCAGCAGTACGAACTTGCATTATATTACATGATTTCATCATCCGAATAGGCTTTCTAATAGAAAGAATTTTTTTCAGTATTCTCATTTGCAATGAAAAAATTAAAATAGTTAAACATGTCCCACATGATAATAATAGAATTTTTACAGTATTTTTCTTATGTTGTTTAGATACTAATGCTGTTATTCATCGGGTCTTTTCCCAATTACTTCCCGAGCATACTATATAGTGGCCATGGTGATAACAAAGATATCACTAATTTGGATACACAGTTGTAGAAAAGGAAAATCAAAATAAACACATTGAAATTTATCACGATATGTACTCATGTTGAAAATCTACATATGTTCAAGCAAATTCATAAAAAAGAAATGTCCATTTTATATAGCTATATAACAATCGGGGTAAAACGTTAAAATGGCTGTACGAATTGGGCCAGCCTTAGTTGCATAATTTTATATTCATTAGTATTTATAAAACATTTTCTAGATTAGATATTTATTTTATTTAGATTATTTAAATTAAAAACCTAAATTTGAAATTGATCAAAGGAGACATTTTGCCGAATAACTTATTCCCAGATATAACAGACCACTACTTAAATAAGAAGATTCGGTTGATAATATAACTTTGGAACACACATCTGTAAAAATATCAATGCACATAATTACAAGTTCTCTGGAATAAAATATTTTGAAAAATGATTATAATGCTCGCAATCAATTAAATATATGGACAGAACAAGTATAGCATAAAAATGAGTACAACAATTAGGTACTTGATTTTTTTTTAATGGAAAGATCATATATAAGTTTTATAACAAAGTTTTTTTTTTGTCGCAATAATTAAAAAGTTATACCAAATTAAAATTTGAGTTTGAATTCGGTATCGAAGAGCGCCGACAAATCCCGAACGAAGCCAAGCGCGTGTGACGTGATTCTGTTACGGGTGATACATAGTAGTATACAGCTTTGAACATGTGCTATGCTTTGAGCTTTGTATAATATCATTCTGTCATTGTTAAATATTCAAAAATATATAAAAAATGTCAAATGTAAAATGTTATCGCTGTTGTTTTGTACCATTATGTACAAATACCAATGAAAGAGTTTGATTTTCTCAAACCTCATGCGGTTGTTAATCATAATATGGTACCTTTAATAGACTTTATTGGTATCATCGCAGCAGCACTAGTGAATTTACAAACACCTATAATTTAAAGCTAAATTTAGAAGAATAAGAAGCAGAATATTTAAGAATATTTTCATGACAAATGAAATGGCTAAATGTATATTTCATATATTTATTATTTTATTTGTTTATTATACATTTATCGTTTATTGCATTTGTACCATATTATCAAAATATATTGAATAATAACTAATTAAAACTTTAACTTTATTAACTTTCTACAGAGTTGAACAGCTTTGGGTATATATTTTTGGACCAGAATACTATACATCTTTTAATGAGATCTTGAGTGTTTTCATCATCATATTTCAATACGCTAACATAATTTTTTTGATCGTCTCAAACTTTTGATCGGCAACACAAAACATTCCCATTCTTTTACCTGTCATTAACAATTGCAGTTGCATTTGAGCATTACATTATTATCTATTAATTTAAGTTATCTACCATATAATATCGATAATTGTACAATTGTGCTGTATAAATATAAATATAAATAAATATAAATATAAATATAAAAATAAATATAAATATAAATATAAATATGAATATGAATATGAATATGAATATGAATATGAATATGAATATGAATATGAATATGAATATGAATATGAATATGAATATGAATATGAATATGAATATGAATATGAATATGAATATGAATATGAATATGAATATGAATATGAATATGAATATGAATATGAATATGAATATGAATATGAATATGAATATGAATATGAATATGAATATGAATATGAATATGAATATGAATATGAATATGAATATGAATATGAATATGAATATGAATATGAATATGAATATGAATATGAATATGAATATGAATATGAATATGAATATGAATATGAATATGAATATGAATATGAATATGAATATGAATATGAATATGAATATGAATATGAATATGAATATGAATATGAATATGAATATGAATATGAATATGAATATGAATATGAATATGAATATGAATATGAATATGAATATGAATATGAATATGAATATGAATATGAATATGAATATGAATATGAATATGAATATGAATATGAATATGAATATGAATATGAATATGAATATGAATATGAATATGAATATGAATATGAATATGAATATGAATATGAATATGAATATGAATATGAATATGAATATGAATATGAATATGAATATGAATATGAATATGAATATGAATATGAATATGAATATGAATATGAATATGAATATGAATATGAATATGAATATGAATATGAATATGAATATGAATATGAATATGAATATGAATATGAATATGAATATGAATATGAATATGAATATGAATATGAATATGAATATGAATATGAATATGAATATGAATATGAATATGAATATGAATATGAATATGAATATGAATATGAATATGAATATGAATATGAATATGAATATGAATATGAATATGAATATGAATATGAATATGAATATGAATATGAATATGAATATGAATATGAATATATGAATATGAATATGAATATGAATATGAATATGAATATGAATATGAATATGAATATGAATATGAATATGAATGAATATGAATATGAATATGAATATGAATATGAATATGAATATGAATATGAATATGAATATGAATATGAATATGAATATGAATATGAATATGAATATGAATATGAATATGAATATGAATATGAATATGAATATGAATATGAATATGAATATGAATATGAATATGAATATGAATATGAATATGAATATGAATATGAATATGAATATGAATATGAATATGAATATGAATATGAATATGAATATGAATATGAATATGAATATGAATATGAATATGAATATGAATATGAATATGAATATGAATATGAATATGAATATGAATATGAATATGAATATGAATATGAATATGAATATGAATATGAATATGAATATGAATATGAATATGAATATGAATATGAATATGAATATGAATATGAATATGAATATGAATATGAATATGAATATGAATATGAATATGAATATGAATATGAATATGAATATGAATATGAATATGAATATGAATATGAATATGAATATGAATATGAATATGAATATGAATATGAATATGAATATGAATATGAATATGAATATGAATATGAATATGAATATGAATATGAATATGAATATGAATATGAATATGAATATGAATATGAATATGAATATGAATATGAATATGAATATGAATATGAATATGAATATGAATATGAATATGAATATGAATATGAATATGAATATGAATATGAATATGAATATGAATATGAATATGAATATGAATATGAATATGAATATGAATATGAATATGAATATGAATATGAATATGAATATGAATATGAATATGAATATGAATATGAATATGAATATGAATATGAATATGAATATGAATATGAATATGAATATGAATATGAATATGAATATGAATATGAATATGAATATGAATATGAATATGAATATGAATATGAATATGAATATGAATATGAATATGAATATGAATATGAATATGAATATGAATATGAATATGAATATGAATATGAATATGAATATGAATATGAATATGAATATGAATATGAATATGAATATGAATATGAATATGAATATATGAATATGAATATGAATATGAATATGAATATGAATATGAATATGAATATGAATATGAATATGAATATGAATATGAATATGAATATGAATATGAATATGAATATGAATATGAATATGAATATATGAATATGAATATGAATATGAATATGAATATGAATATGAATATGAATATGAATATGAATATGAATATGAATATGAATATGAATATGAATATGAATATGAATATGAATATGAATATGAATATGAATATGAATATGAATATGAATATGAATATGAATATGAATATGAATATATGAATATGAATATGAATATGAATATGAAAAATATGAATATGAATATGAATATGAATATGAATATGAATATGAATATGAATATGAATATGAAGAATATGAATATGAATATGAATATGAATATGAATATGAATATGAATATGAATATGAATATGAATATGAATATGAATATGAATATGAATATATGAATATGAATATGAATATGAATATGAATATGAATATGAATATGAATATGAATATGAATATGAATATGAATATGAATATGAATATGAATATGAATGATATGAATATGAATATGAATATGAATATGATATGATGATGAATATGAATATGAATATGAATATGAATATGAATATGAATATGAATATGAATATGAATATGAATATGAATATGAATATGAATATGAATATGAATATGAATATGAATATGAATATGATAGAATATGAATATGAA